GGCACTGAACACTGCGGAATTATCACCGACGTCGCGTTGGTGCGAGAAACTTCTATCCGTACTCACGGGTGCCGGATAATCTGTACCGATAGACTCTAGGACTGCTAGTACGAAGACCGATCCAAGAATTGCCGCCCCTAAAAAGAACGCAAGGGCCAACTTCGTTTTTTCATATTTATCGTCGTCAATCGTAGTCTTCATCAAGTTTTTCCGATTTCTAGTTGTATTCATTGTGGATACTACGCGTACGGCTAGTCTCAGCTCGTAGCCCGATCAAATCGACACTGAGCTTCTTCTTCTTTCTTGCCTCGACTTTCTATACGTGTTGCATAAGAAAAAAAAACACGAAAAATGTCTTATAGGCAAAGCATAAATTTAAGCTTGTTTTATCTCAAAATTCTAGCCTGTGTTTACATGAAAAACTCGAGCTAAGCAAAAACTTTTAGGGTCGACTATTTTTAAAAGCTCTGGTCGAATTTTTAAAATAGAGTACATGACTATTGCAACTTCATTTGTCTACAGATTTTTTATCGTAGTTATTTCTAGAGATAAAGTAAATTCAGTAATGAACGGTTTAAAACAAATTGTTTTTTTATTAAATTAAACCATTATAGCGTAATTAATGATAAATTAATGAGAAAATAATAATATTTATTATTCAATTTTTTACGTTTTGATCAAGCTATTGACCTACAACTCGTATTTTGAAGTATTATTCAAATCTTACGATTCATAACACATACGAAGTAGTAACTACCCTCACATTAAGGTTGTGCTCACTAGGTAAGTTGTAAATTTGTACCAATTATAATCGCTATGAAATTTTCACTTACGTCGCGCGTTCAAGCTTTAGACTCCAATAAACACTCAAGAGTAATACTAACAAGATCGCCCAAAGCGTCGTGACGTAACGCAATACTTAACAAATGAAAAAACTTACATTCATTAATTATTATCCACGCAAAACACGAGCAATATCCAACCACTTTTTACAAAACTTTTGTTTATTTTACAATGAGCTCAGATAATAACTTCTAATATAAATAGTTATTTTGAATATTTAATGGTTAATGCTAATGCATATTAATGACGATTTTTTTTCAGTTTGTTAATGCGTTTAATAGTCTATTGTAGCCTCTTTTGTTGACATTCCTCTTTTTCATTGTTATTTTAAGTGCAATATTAATTTGATGATTTATTTTTTTTATTACAATTTTGCTTTATCACGTGATTTAAGATTTGCTGGAAGGGTAGATCACCAAACTTAAGCAATTACAATTTACAATACAGGATAATGAAAGAATAAATTTGTTGTAAATAAATTTTTTTTACACAAACTCTACGGGACACTCGCAATGAGCTGAAGACTGCTTAATTCATTTTTTTCTGAACAGCTGCATCAACTTTTATAATTTATTTTTTTTTTGAAGTGAAAAATGTTTACATAGGCAAAGAACGATCTCAATTTTATGCATTGCATGAGTCGAGACTTTTCGATAATTGAAAAATAGTTTTTTAATTGTACAATGATAATAGAGCCATTATATATGATATAACTTTGCCTAAAACCTGTAAAATATAATAAGTAAACTAGTTAAATAGTTATTTGCTGTCATATTCTACTCACAACTCCAGCAATTCTCAGATTCAATGGAAAATTTGCAAAGCCAGCTGATAAAATTGTTGGGTTTGATGTTCTAGTTATTGTCATTAGTAAAAATAACCTGACTTTAGGAGGATACATGTACCAACTATAAGTGTGGTAGCTATTTGAAAAAAATATCTAATTTAGAAACCATTTACTGAATAACACAGTGAAAATATAATTCATTTTTTCTGTTACCAAAAATCATCGATACAGCAATCATCGAACAATTCTTGACTTGGATAAATAAGCAAAAATAATATCATTGTAGAACCCATCACTGAAATCAATAATATTTTAATGCACGCAGAATTAGATTTTATCGCAATGACCATCTAAGTATTAGAAAGTGATTTATGAGTTTTTTTTAAAATTCGTTTGTATCGTAATCAATTCAATTAATTACCCAGGATCCACTCATGCACATATTAACAATAATTATGGGAATAATGACGAACAAAGTTTTATTAATAACATCTTTTTGAGTATCAAACAACCTGAAAATAAAATCGTTTTATAAAGTCGAAAATTTTTGTATGTATTTTCTTTTACGACTCTCTGTTACACAGATAATTATTAATAAAACTGAACCGTATAGTGTCTTGATGATGTTGAATTAATTTTATGATTTGTTGATGCAACCAACGATCTGCGTTCTGATTTTTTCCCCTTAATTTCAATTGATACTCTTCGTCAGTGGCTTTCATTTTTAAACTAACAATTTTAATTTACGTTAAAATGTAAATCTGGAAATTTCTTATTTTGAAAATCTCACTTTATGATTTGATACTGAATGACCAAAGAAATTACTACAAATCTGTAGTGAAACATAATTGCCCCAGACATAATTGCGCACATGAATAAGAAAATCATGCGAAAAGCCATTAAACCAAAATAACACTTTTCAAAATTCATGAAAAATTTGAACTCGAACCACAACGGTCTCATTTCAAGCTTGATCAGACCAAATAGCATACGTTGCTCAAAGGAAATGCATAGCAGTATGAAGAAGACTGTTAGAAAATTAATTTTTGTACTTTTACTAGTGTTACACTCGAATTTGTAACTTACCCCATAAACGATTACTTTCTCTATAAAATTTACTCAATCGTTTATGTAAAAATGTTTGCTCGCCTTCGTGCACTTCCTTTGTAAACAATGACACCGAAATTCTGAACGAATTTCGTAACTACTAATAAAAAAAATGATTAACTGGTTTCGTTCGTATGTAATGAATGATACATTTTTAACAGTACTGACCCTTTCATCAATACTAATTATAACGGAATACGCAATCAAGATTGCCATTGATGATAAGAATTGAAACAAGCATAGTCCTATTACTTCCCAATTTATTTCAGATTGCCCACGAATCTCTTCGATCAATTTCCACAACTTGAATTGAAGTTTAATCAAGTTTAAAGTTGAAAAAAATTATGGATCATGTACTCACCGAACCCGAACCATAAACAAAAAAAGCTATTACAATGATCGTCCTTCCAAAATATCTTATCCTTTTATCCACCCAAGGCCACACAAAAATTAATTTCAGTAATTTAATATTCCAGTAGAAATGAAGCTTCAAAAATCGTTCGATAGTCGAATTCGAAATTTCGTAATCATCGATTATTTTTGAATTTACGAACATTCTTTAAATTTTGCTAGAATGGTTACGACGAACCTAAATTGAAGACTACTAATAGAACACGTGTGTACGATTTTTTAAACATTCAAGGCCTTAAATATACTGAATAGGTACCTTTTGTGTTGAATTGTAAAGAATCTTTTGTATCGTTAAATCATTTTGTAGTAATTTTCATTTTAATATATTTATGCTTTCTATAGAAGCCTCTTACCCTAAATTCACTCAAAAACGTTGTTGTTCAGGAAAAAAAGTATTATAAAAATAAAACTGTTATCAAATATTTTAAAAAACTGATAATTTTTGAAACATTTCTTTTACTTTGTATTGTACAAACTAAACTAAGCCTCTGAAAGTTTTCATCCAAGTTATTGTAATAATTATTACGCTAGGGTCAACGATCAAAATTATTGCAGAATCGGTATCGACTCTTTCATGGAGCAGTTCAGTCAAAGGAGTGAAAGATCGAGAAATGTTTAGGCTCATGGAACATTAGTATACTATGTATTAAAGAAGATGTTTAGGCTCATGGAACATTATTATACTATGAAGTCCCGTTGTATTTCGATCTTTACGCCACTTGCAGTTTTAAGAGTAGACGTGCCGAAAAACCTGGTTTTTATCAGTCATTTCGAAAGAAGAAAAAAAAACAAACTAAACCGACGATTTCCGTACATACGCGCGCTCGAATATTGCGCCGTGTGTCGAAGATTTTTTTTTTGTTCGCGATTGATTGTAGCGTCATAACATTTGTACAGAGTGACGGGCAAATATATTTACACATTTTTTAATTAAAAAAAAAAATTATAAATTTTGCTTCGTGCCGGTTCAGAATATACAGTTTTATTTATTCGTGTCAATTCATTATTTCAGTTCACGATTGTTATTTAAGCTAACATTTGTCAATGTAATTTTAATATTTATATTGAATAATCATTCGGTTAACGAGTTATTCACTTCGGTTGCTGTAATTGCCTCAATCAAAAAAATGCTATTTCGCAAATTTTCAAATGCAACTTCAATGCGCGTCAGAGCGTGAAAGTGGTTCAAACGTTGACTTGAAGTAATTGAGGAATGTGTATAATTATAAATACCTCTTCAATTCGATTTTTTAATTTTAGTCCAGTCACGTAGTCATAAAATCTTGAAACATTTTCATAATTTTTATTTTATTTTTACCTCATAAATTGACTCGCGTGTTATAATCCAGATCAGATCAGCAATAAAACGATCCTAATGAAAACAATAAAAGAAGGAAACGCGTGAAGTTTTTCTTTTTTTAAAATAAGGTTTCACATTTTTTTTGGGTAATTTAAAATGAATTTTCAAACACTCGTATATCTTATGCACGAGTCGAATAGTCGATTCGACATTTTTAACATAACGATTGTACTCAAACAAGTCAATCGGAAAGAGCGACACGGCGCGCGCGGGGGATGCCATGATTTGTCTTTGTTCAAAAAACATAAGCCCGATCTCCGCGATCTGACGCGCCGAGACATCTGGCACTTGAACAAATCGCTTTTCACAACATGTAATAACGTTCCGCCCGAGCCAACTTTAATTCCGAATCCTTTTATCTCTCGGAATATCTTATAGTCGCATGAAACTCGGATTTCATCATTCTTTTGTTGGCCAGCAAAGAATCAACAGTAAAAAAATTAGTTCTCTCCGCTCGCGTCATTGCAAATTATATTATTCAACTCGTTAAACATGAGACCGCTACGATTTCTCGCTGGGCTCGTATTGATGTAAGTACTAATTGCCGATCGATGGGTAGATTTAATTCGAAAATATATCTATATTGAATTTTTTTACATCGAAGAATCAACGCGATCGGTCGAATCGATGCGGTCGACAAATCGGCCATGATACTGGAAAAGAACGAGGACGCCGAGTCTTCGTCCGCAGGCACCACCACCATCAGGCCCGTTGGAACCTCCAATCAAAAGATCGTCACGTCCAACAGTCCAGCGAATTCGGCTTCCACGAGCGATCAGGACAGCCCTGTGGACGATTTAGCCGCCACCGTCCAAGCGGCGGGTAATCGGCCCTCGGCTCCACTTGGATCGACGAATATCGGCAACAATAACAACAACAACGACAACTTGAATAACAACAACAACAATAACAATCTCAATAATGGAGTGCAAAATACAAGAACAGAACAGACGAACCAGAATCAGAATAATAATTTAGGTAACGATTACGATAACAATGGCTTTACTGGTAATGGTCAAGGTGCAGCGAGGGGCAACGGTAACAATAATCGAATAATTAACACGGGCAACGATTACGATAACAACGACTATACCGATCGAGGGACAAGCAATAACGGCTACGATAATAACGGCTACAATAATAATAACAATAACAACAACAACAACAACAACGACGGAGCTTACGGCCGGGTTGGTGGCAGAACAACAACTAACAATTTGTCTAACGGATACAATCGTGTACAAAATCGGCCGTTTCAAAATTCAGGTGTCGTCAATCGGCAGCCGGTGCAGATACAGCAGGTTCAGGTGCGGCCGGTGGTCCAGCAGGTTCAGCAGGTTCAGCAGCAGCGTCCGGTCCAGGTGCGTCCGGTGCCGATCGGGCCCGTGACGGGCATCGGACTCGGGGTCACTTCCATCATCAACACAGTCGCTCAAGGCGTGACCTCGATCAGGGGTGCGGCGGCGGCGCGCAAACGCAACCAGCGCAACGTCGTCGTGCCGGTCAATCAGCAGCGATTCGTCGTCGCCCAGCAGCAGCGGCGGCCGTCCGTGCGCGTCGTGGCCAATCAACGGCCGAAGGTCATCTACGGATAGCTATATGGACGACTACTCCTGTAAATTGTGCAGTATTTTTTTTTCTATAGGAAAACGAGGAGAAAATCCAAAAGAGAGAGAGGGTGGGAAGACGGGGGAAGGAATTTTCTACGTAATCGATATAGTTTTGTAGGATTAAATTTTCATTTGTATTGATTCACCGATGCATGTTATCGTATGGTAATTTGATTTTGATCGAAGCAATAATCAGTAAGCTGTGGAATTTTTATATACAAATATCTTTATTAATTTCCAAAATAATTCGACAAACAAGTTTTCATTCATAACAAACGCATTTTAAAATTTACAAGTATAAATTGACAATGGAATTAAATCATACATTGATATGCTATTTTGTACAGTTACTTAACAGAAGTTTCAACATTTTCAAATTTAAATTACGTATAATAGATCTATTTTGTTCTTAATCTTCTTTAATCCTTTGAATGATATCAGCGAAGAGGGTTTTTGTTTTTTCCTCTTTGCCTGCAAATTCTTCCCATTCCTTTTTGTTTCTGGCAAAGAGAGGTACATTCAATTTGTGCGATATTATTTTTCCCACTGGAGTCGATCTTAACAGTTCTCCAACTTCCGCCAATTCTGTCATCATGATGAGTTTCTGTGGAGGCTTCGCACTGGCCCACACTTTTTCTAAACACCTGGATCCATGAGTACTGCGAGCTAATTGAGCCCAGGTCCCTCTCAAATGTTTAGCGAGTTGTTCCCGACTTTTTGCTCCGATAAATTGACTGTCCATGAAAGAATCCATAATTCTGCTACCTTTTGGATGTTCGAGAATACGGCACAACTCTGTGCTATCCATGGCCAGCAGAGAGTTAACAATTTTGATTGGTTTGTTGAATTCTAACATACACTGTATGCACAGACTGCCATGCAAGTTCATGGGTAGCTTAGATTTGGCGTCGTCACTGAGAGAAGAGTATTTTTCAAATTTACTGAACCTCATAAGTAGCGGAACGATGAAGTTTTCTCTTTCTTTTGGTTGATCGCAATCCAATAATTTCATCAGAGCATTGATGAAAGGACCCTGTTTAGCTTGTAATTTCCAACAGCCTTTAGCTAAAGCTGCAAAAACACCGGTGTAACTTTTTGACAAGATACTATTAAAGTGTTCAACAATTTCATCAAAAATTTTCTCAAAAATTTCTTTGCTAGTACAATATTCAATTAGTCTTTGTACACTAAAGTTTGCGCCCTGCTTTACGGACAACACTCCCAAATGATTCTCAAAGTAATTTTTATAGATCTTTTCGTGATCTTTAGGATTTGAAACAGCAAGGATGGCCTCCAGGACCCTGAAAGAACACTCTTTGTCAAATATATTGGACAAAGTTTCTTCATTACTCAATGTAAAACACTCATTAAATACTCTGTTCATTAAATTACTATTTAAATCAGAATCAACATCTTTTAAAGTATACAAAACTGACTGCATAAAACCAGCGGTCAACTGATCATGATTGAATTGAGCTAATTGTGGAAATCTGAGTAAATTATTGCAGGCTAACATTAATAATTTCTTATAATCCTCATTCACAGTTCTCCTTTTTTCTAGATCTGGTTTCTTTTTTACCATATTATTAGCTGAACTTAAGTCAATGATGCCTCCAAGGCACTCTATAGCTGTTCTTAAAATATGATTTGCATAAGTATCCCAAACGAATTCTTCAATATTATTAATAGCATATCTACAAAGCTTCAAAGCTGTTTCATTGTACTTTTCTACTTCAGAATGCTTGATTTCTGTTGTATCTTTTTCATCGGTTTTAACATAATTTCCTTTGTGCGCGCAAGTGGTTATTAGTTTTTGAATCACATGTGAGGCAAACGGATCGCTGCATAAAGGTCGAAGTGAGTCATAGAAACTGTCTGCCAATCTTATAATTGTATCAAAATTAGCATGTTGTATCAACACATCTAAAACTCTTGATCCAACCTGGAATAAATATTAAATTATTATTAAAAAATGAAGATAAATCCATAAGGCTTATATTTCTTAATAAGGCTTATAATCAAATCAAAAAAAGTCTGCGCGCATGAATGAAACTTCTAATTATCAACATGAAACTTCTAATTATCACATAGACATTGCAAATGAAAAGAAAGTGTTAACCATTAGTTATCATTCATCAACATATAATGGAATAACTACCTGATTTTTTGCATAATCCATTTCTTTCCCTCTGGTTTGTTCGAAAACATTTTCCACAAATGTTTCTTTATCTTCCATAGTTGGAAAATCCGAGCGAATCATTTGCAAAACATTGAGCATGTATTGGTAGCTCTCTGAATCAAGCTCTCCATCGTGGAAACGACGTCTGGCTGCTTTTTTAGCCATTTGCATCGACGATCGCTTCTTTTTTCTTTTCAGATTCGGTCTGGGTGTATCTACGTGCTGTCCCTCCATTATTAATGATACTCGCGTTGTCAATTGACAATTGACAATAGTAAAAATTATATTAACAAAGTCAATCCGGCACTGATTTATAATTCTGCTCTGAACTTCAAGAAGAATTATCACTCACGTTGGTTGCACGCACGATACTGAAACATAACCTCAGTTGCATATGAGAAAAACGTGCGTGCAACAGCGGTAAAATTTTCGATGAATTCTGGGGATTCGGAACTGGCGAGCCGGGCATTTAACCCATCTTGCGAGCACGTGGTTTGGTATTTAAAAATTCGACAAGTGTGTATCGACAAAATAGTTGTGAATATTCGAAGCCAAACAAATTTGACCATAAAGGATTTTAAAATTTACAGTTATATTGTCAGCGTCGTTTTTAATTTATTTATTAATCGAATGTGGTTCTACAAATTTGTAGGTATTAAGAAAAAGAAAATTAGAGTTTCGAATTACAAAATAAAATCTACCATTTAAAACCATTGTATTTATTTAACTTTAAAAGTGAATATATACAATTCATTCTTTAACATAAGAATGAAATATTTTTATCATTCTATCTTTTTTAGTCTTAATTATTATATCAATTATGCTTAAGTATTACTATATAGCATAAAGTTTATTTTACACTAGTACTCAATTTAGTACTCGATAAAAGTAAACAAACCTGTCGATACACGATCTCGGTCGTAAGAAGCAAATATGATCACACATTCTTGATTACATCTATTTTTTCATAATTATCACTTTAGGAAATATATAATATTAAAATGGCTCTTTAGTTTATAGGTTAACATTGAAACATGTGTTAACCTATGTGTTTGTTCGTATTCATTAATTGTCATGTTATACGAAACAAGTTTTAATGAGTAATGTACTAACAATAGCTTTTTTACTTTGAAATTAAAAAATTAGTTTCAACACATTTTTACCCAATATTTTGATTATTACAAAAATCCAAAAGAGTACTCCTTTTCAAAAAGTACAATTTATGCTCTAGATTTACTGCATCAAAGGAAATACCATGTGAAAAAAAATTATTTTCTTCAACGCACTTCAAAGTGGGAATTCTAGTAGGTCATGCTGCTACAATAGAAAATGATATCAAATTTAGTCCAATCAATCGATAACAGTTCTTTCCTCTGTGCATCATTTTAAATGTAATTTTAGTGAACATTCTTTAACATATCACGTAATTTTCTTTGTATCAATTTTACACTATTTGCTTATAATTAGCTAAACTAAACAATACAAATAAGAATCATAAACAAATTAGTCTAAATTTTGTACGTATAACAATTTCACTTTAACTATACATAGAATATAGTTCTGATAACTGCCTTACATTAAGCGTAAGTATTCTCGTTACAGCTAATAGTAAAAATCGTCTCAGAATACAATTATTCGTTGTCTTGGCATATGGACGTGTTCCGGAATAATTGACATTTTTGAAATTCTGATCAACAATCGCAACTCGTTACACAAGTATAATATTTATATAAATAACAACGATTCGCTTCGTTGAATAACCGCTCGATATAGACTATCGATGAAACGCCGAGTGCATTCGTCGCTCACGTCAATAAAAAAAAAAAACAACAACAACCAGTTCACTCTTTGTATCACGTTTTGATGTTTTTTTTCTATCGACGCACTAAACGTCCGATTCTCATACGGCTCCGTACTCCTCGCTCGACGGCGAGTCGTCGCTGTTGGCTAAATTGTGCCCGAGCGACGAGATGGAATTGCGCGACCTCGCGCTTCTGTAATGATGCTGCTGCTGTGGCTGCTGCTGTTGTTGTTGATGATGATACTGGTGCTGTTGATGCACAGGCGCTGCTGGTGCCGGTCGCCTCGGCGGCGGTGGTGGCTGCTGTTGCTGTTGCTGCTGATGTATGGCGCTAGCGAGTTGATGGGTGAACGACAGCGAAATCGAGTCGTCGCCGTCGTCGCTGCTGGGCGAGGGCGACGGCGCCCTGTCCTCCTGGTCCTGCAGCAGCTGGCGAAACTCCTGTATCGACTCGTTGAGAGACCAGAGCTGGGACAGCAGCGACAGATCCAACTGGCGCAGGCCAAACTGCGGAGAATGAAATTGAATGAAATTTTACGTCGGGCGATCGATTTAGCGCACGTTATACGTATGTGTATTATTATACGCACGCCTCGCGTTGCCAATAATAATACAGGAAAAATGTTCTATGTTTTAAGTGCAAAAAGTCGATCGAAATGAAATGATAAGTTTACACGCTGATATGTATACGTAATAGACTCCTGCCCCCCTGCAAACACACCAGAGGCATATATATATAATTCGCGAGACTTTCCAATACGTCTTGTGAGTCGCAACGATTTGTATTGTATACGGAGAACCTATATATGTATGCAAAAACGAGTGTGGGCGCGGAAGGCTCAAGATTACAATCATTATTGGCCTTTAAAATGACTCGAGCAACGAGCCGCTGATATTTTAGATTGATTTCGTCCGCGACCTCGACTGATCAATCGAGTACTTATAGTTCTCAATTTGGCGCTCGCGAGTCGTACGGCCTGTAATGTATATAGCGATCGTTCGACATCTCAGACAAGTAGCGCATGGCAGATATATCCATGCAATTTTTCAAGTTAAACATACAAGACACGTTGTGATTGTTGAGTATCCATGTCGCGGGTGCACAGGTAATTTTGGCTAATATCGCAGTGCTCGCGCGGTAAAAATCATTTCGCGGCGTTTGCGGCGGCTCGGGTCGATCGTTATACACAAATCGTTGCGCCGAGTCGGCACTTTCGACTATATATATATACACAAATATCGTTGTTGCAACACCCTCTCCTTCGTGGCTCTGCGTGCTCTACAATTGCGCAATTATTCTTCGGTTAAACGCAACAACAACAACAAAAAGTAACACCGTTGGCTCAGCACAAATAGCGAAGATTACGACGTCGAGTGAGAGAAAAAAATGTCGAACGTATTTACCATTTCTCGCCTGAGTATGGACAGCTGCGTGTCGAGGGTGGTCAGCTGCCGGCCGCCCTGGGGCGAGGGTCTCGAGCCTTGACTGCTGGTGGAGCTCGGCGTCTTGACCAGTCGGTTGCCGCTGCTGCCGCTGCCGCGACTGGGCACCCGGGCTGGTGGCAGCGGTGGCGGACTTCGACCGGGCTCGAGACCGCCGTTATCGAGGCCGAACCCACTCAAACTTCGAGGCAGTGGCGGCAATCCTGGCAGCGAAGACATGTTTATCCTGGCGATTATTCTGCAATGATAATATTTATTGTTTTAACGTTCAGCAGAATATGAAAGCTTCGGGATAAATTTTAATGAAGCTTAGGAGTGACATTTGTTTCACTATACTTTAGGGCAATGATAAGAATTCAGTCAGGCAGTGATAACAGTCTCAAGAAGCGAACGTTGAAAATTTTCATTTTCAATTCAAAATTGTACACTGAGAAAAAAAATTCCTTGATTCAATGAAATCTAATTTAATATTTCATTCACTATTTAATCAAATGATTGATTGAAGCAATGAAGCTTTGGTAAAAACAATTAAATATTTTGTTGGATGAAATAAAAAAAGATTATTTCAATGAAATTATTTCATAGATTGTATTTAATTAAATATTTCATTGAATCAGTGAATTTTTTTTCTCAGTGTAAAAATAAATATGACTAGTATTTTCTTGTCTTTTTTATAAATCATGAGAAACGATATCAGTAAGTTTTTAATATAATATCATTAAAATAATATATATCAACAACTGTCGGATGAGTCAGTAAAACTGAGTAAAATAATAATTAAAATATAATGATATTATATTAAAAACTTACTGACATCATTTCTCATGATTTATGAAGAAGAAAAGGAAAATAATTACATTAAAATTTTTAAACATTTATTTTTAAAATTTTGAATCGCGCGCTTTCGGCGCCTCTATGCATCCAATGCTAATTATATTACAATTAGACTACGAAATAAAAGAATAGGACTGTCTGCATCAGATTCCTTTAATTATGGAACGGGCCGCATAGAAAATCTAGATGGCGCTTAGGTATGGTATACTTTTTCAATTGCATTCGAGAGGTCACTCTACGAAGTTGTAACGTGTACGACGCCGAGCTCTATTCGTAGACGGTATAGCGCATTCGGAGTCAGAGCAAGCTCGGACACACAAGTGCAGAGAACATCTTTGAATTTAGGAGTTACCTAAAGAAGTGATTTACCAGAAAAAGTGAAAGTTTCATTTCGACCACATGGTTCTATACAGTCTCTATATTTGATTTTAGTGCATTCCTAGTCAGTGCAAGCGTGGACACACAAGTGAAAACATCTTTCGAATTTCGGAGTTATTTGATCCAGTGAATTTTCGAAAAAGTGAAAGTATCTATTTACGTCGCAGTGTAAACGGCAAAGTAATATCGCGAACAGAAAGCTTCTGAATTATAATCGTGATTGCGCGTGATTTCGCAAAATAATGGCCTCCTTCAAAAGCACCCAAGACGAACGTGAGCATAAATTAATGGATTCGATGAAAGAATTAAAATTGGAAGACGAGAAAAAACTATTGGATTTTTTTCATGAACTCGTAGTCTTGCTCAGCGATTCGCTGGAGAACCCAATGATCCTTAAGCATTCACTCTCATATTTATTGGGTAAAGAGTACGATGGCTACGGCTATTTGCACGTGGCCTGTCTCAAGGGCTTTGACTACATTGTCAGAGAAATGCTAAGGTGCTACGAGGATCCCAATCGTACCGTGGTAGGAACAGGTGATACACCGCTCATCTTGGCTCTGAAGTACGAGCACGTGGCCGTCGTCGAAGTCCTATTGGAATATGACGCCGATCCAAATTTTCCTAACAAGAAAGGATTGACTCCGCTGCACGTTCTATGCGCGAAACAAAACTTCAATGAGGACTTGGCGAAGAAATTTTTCAAGGCCATCGATGACCACGGGCAGACGATAGTGGCCAACGCTAAAGATAATTCGGGCAACACACCCTTGCAACTGGCTTTGACTCGCTGCCACAAGAAAGGGCTCGAATTACTGCTGAGAAAAGGTGCGGATCCCAACTTGGTCAACGAGGAGGGCTCGAATTTACTGCATCTCATCTGCCAGGGACACGGCGATTTGGTCATGGTAGATACGTTGTTCAGGGTCACCGACGACATATGTTCGTTGGTGCGGACGAACGCCAGGGACAAGATGGAGAACACTCCGCTACACTTGGCGGTCCGATTGGCGCACAGCAAAGACAACAGGAAGATGGTGCATAACATGCTGGCACATGGCGCCAATCCGAACTTGATGGACGCCCAGGGAGATACGGTTTTTCACCTAATTGCTAAGAGGGACGACGACGAAATTCAGCTGTTGGAGACGCTGTTCAAATGGACCGACTTCAAACATCTGCCGTTGGAGGTCCATGCCAAGAACAAGGAGGGTCGGACGGCACTGGAATTGGCCGCTGCGGGGCTCTACCCGAACAAGGTTCGCGTGCTCTTGCAGTACGGCGCTGACACGTCTCGTTACACTTTTCGCTGCGAGGATTTCTTCAAGGGGCAAGACGTCGAGGATTTCAATCTGGATACGATGTCGCGTATTTTTGCCGTCTTCGAACTTCTTGAAAGCGACGGATTCACGACGGGCTTGTACGATATGGAACCGCTGGTCGCCGAAGTAGCCAAGCGATTCAAGATTTGTCAGAGCGTGTCGCTCTACGACGCAGCAATGGACAACGAGGAGGCGCGAGGGCTCCAGTACGCCGCCTTCTACGAGTTCTTGATCGCGGACGACTTGTGGCAGCTGCCCCAGAGACACGCGGAGTCTTGCCGTCGTCGTCTATGCAACGTACTGAGGAGAGGATTGCGCAAGCTCGCGATCAAGACCATGAAAAATCTGATATCGAAATTGGAAAATTCGACTGTAGAAGATGTAGAAAAATTATGTACAGTAGTCATGTCAAAGCACCCGGGCATTCTTGTAAAATGATAATAAATAAATCTATCTTACATAAACAGGATTATGCCTATGTAAAATCGTATACTAGCCTATACCCCAATTCCATCCGGATCAGGATCCTGATCTTTAAAAAAATCACTTTCCAATCCATTTTAATATGAATATAATTTCATTAATTTATTTAAAAAACTCTTGGTAAAATCATAAGTATACTACGTGAATAGCAATCAAATCATTTTAAAATTTGTTCAAATGTTTATATGACTTGAACCAAAGTGGCCGAAAGCATCGAGAAGATCTGGATTTGGTGGTAGAGTCACTTTATATGGGCTTTATCAAAAAGATTTTATGGTTACAAAAATGAAATTCTAAAATTCAAATTGTGTGATTTTAAAGAGTTCATTAAAAATGAAAACCCTCAAAATTTTTATAAATTAAAAACCATTTAAAAAGGAAAAAAATATAACATAAAGTCTAAAAATAAACTAGTTTATCTTCAGCGAAAGAGCCAGAATCACAATATGTTCATCGAAGGATAAATAAGAGGCACTTTCCTCATAATTATGAATTTTTCCTAATTTTGATCCTTTTTATGCTATCAAATTGTATCTGTTAGTTTCCTTATTGTGCCACTTGGTGAAAAGTTGCATTTTTCTATTTGAAAGAACATATTTCAACATTGTCAATTTCAAGTTGTACGAACAAGTTAATTTTTATACTTTTATGCTATTTAATCATATTTAATAGGTTTTAGAGTTTGAAACATGCTTTTTGATTACAAATGGGAAATCTACATCAAATTTTACACAAAAATTGACAATTCATATATTTTTTAACATTCATCCCAAAAAAGCAGAATAAAATCTTAAAAATGAAAATTCAACTTTCAGTTCATGTAAGGATGGACACAGAGAGCTGAAATTTTCTGGATTATCATTTTTCAATTTACTCTTTGAGAATTAATTCTCATTTGGCTAAATCCTCCTGCTATCTTAAAAGGGAGGTGGGTCCGAGAGCGTATACCATAATAAAAGAGTGAACGAATTGCGGCTAGCTGCAACACATTACCGATCCGCATCTTAAAAATAAGAAAGGATTGTTACCAGGTTATTTACACACTCACGTAAAAAATATTAATGCTTATAACCTGGCCCAAATGTGCACCAAATATGGCCCAATTTGTTTGGTGCAAACATTGACATTGATTTTTTTTTTACGCGGGCAACTATAAAATAGTCATGTTAACATACCCTAGGAAGATCATTCTACATAACAATAATTTTCATTGCGTACTTTATCGAACACATTTTAATTTATTGTTGCATATGGGCTATTTCACAACAGGTGTTGCAGGCCAAAAAAATGTACTCTTTAAGAACACAATGAAAAATGAAAATCCTGAACACCACAGCCCCCTAGGTCCAACACTCATGGATATCTACAGGGGCTCAAAGTTGGATTTTCATGTTTTGAGGATATTCTGCTTGTTACTCTGCTTTTCTGGGGTGCATATGAAAAAATTTCTAAACCATGTATTTTCATGTAAAATTTGATGTAGAATTCAAATCTGTAACACGATGTGACATTCATAACCTCAAAACTAAAAAAATAGTGTAAAAGACCATGGAAGTAAAAAAATAAACATATTCATATACCTCTAATCAGCCAATACTGTAATATGTTCATCGATACACCAAAATACAACTTTTGATAAAGTTTGGTAACTGAGTCTCCAGACAGTCTCCAGAGAATGGAAACTCAGTTACTCAACTTTATCAGAAGTTGTATTTTGATGTATCGATGAACATATTACAATATTGGCTGATTTGAGGTATACGAACATATTTATTTTTAGACTTTCATGTCCTATTACACCATTTTTTCTATTTCAAGGGGTTTTGAGGTTATTAATGTTTTATTTGAGTACAGATTTGAATTCTACATCAAATTTTACATGAAAAAACATGATTTAAAAATTTTTTCATATGCACCCCAGAAAAGAAGAGTAACAAGCAAAACATCCTCAAAACATGAAAATCCAACTTTGAGCCCCTGTAGATCCATGAGGGTTGGACCTAGGGGGCTATGCTTCAAGATTTTCATTTTTCATTGTGTTCTCAAAGAATACATGGTTAGTTTCCACTTCATTTTTTGGGCTTGCAACACCTCTTGTGGACTAAGCATTTTCTAGTTTTCAAAAAAACAAATTATATTATAGCCTCATTGAAAAAATTCCAATATTGGAAAAGCAAGGGCGAGAGAACATCCAAATGCTCTTCTCGAACACTCCTACGATTTTGATTCAATCGAGCGACGCCGAGTTGCTTTTCCGCCACTTACATAATGACGTATTAATGCGCGCTCGGTTCATCGAGCGAACTCAAGTCGTATACGATACCGGCACGAGTAATTAGCATAACGTATACGAACGTAGCTCGAGAGATGAAACGAATCGAGAGGCAATAAATCGTCGCGGCTGATCGGTTAGCGAGGGTGGGAGGGGGAGGCCCTTTAATTAATAACTCTCGTAAGCTCCGCGAGGGAAAAAGGAACAAAGTTATCGAAAGTCAGGATCTCGCCGAGCATCGAGAGCTCGAACGAGCTTGTTGTATATATGTGGAAGCGCGACGGTATATAATAATATAGCAGAGAGAGAGAGAGAGAGAGAGAGAGAGAGAGAGAGAGAGACCGCAATTGCCACCCGCGCATTATATACACCGCAAAGAGCTCCGTATACACGTATAAACAAACAAAGCTTATATATGTTCGTCTGTGCTGTGGCAGCGGGTTAGGTCAGATGTGCATATATATACACAGCGTCTATTCCCACTTCGCTCCTCGAGTTTATATTATTATTTGACTCGTGTGTCGAGACCCCGAGTCGTGTTTTTGTGCGAAGCTCGAAGGAGTGGCGGCGGGCGCCCTATACGTGCACTTTCCCACGCGACCCACATAAACTGCAGCGCGCGACCACGTGCTGCCGCCGTTGCATTTATATTGCCGCGCGCGACTTTCGCCTTTATACGTATATACGAGGGGGGGGGGGGNGGGGGGGGGGGGGGGGGGGCCAACGCGAGTAATTTTTACCTGGAAAAATCGAGGTCGGCGAACTCGGCGCTGTGAGTAGACGACGAGCAGCAGCAATCGTAATAACCGTCGAGGCCGTTCAGTGTAACGGCGCGATGCTGATGCTGATGATGCCGACGAGGATTCTCGTTGGCCGCAGGCAGAGTGATCTTGGTCGAGGTGTATCTTATGCCTGCCTCGAGCCAGTCCTGCGTCTGGATGTTCTCGGGCTCGGGGCTGCTGCTGCTCCCGTTGCCGTTTTTGGGCGCGGCGTCCTCGATGACGAGGACGACGGTCGTCTTCGGGCTAGGATCGGACGGCGAATCCTCGTCGGTCACTCCTCGCTCCTTGAACGTGACCACGGCCTGCTGGGAGGATTTCTTTCTCGGCGGCTGCTCGTCCTTCTCGTTTGGATCTGCACCGTCTCCTCCTCGGTCGGTCTCGTCTTTGTCCTGCTCCGCGTCCTTGTTGTTGTTGTTGTCTTTATCCTTCTTGTTGGACTCGATCTCTTTCTCTCCTCCTTTTCGCTTCGAGGTATCGTCTATTCTATCGCTGTGCTGCAGCTGCTTCTTTTCGTCGACTCGGCCTCCGTTGCTCCTGATTCTGCTGCTCGTCGAGTCGTAAACGAGCGTACGACCGCCAGCGTTGTTGCTATTGCCGTTGTTGCAGCTAGCGTCGACACGATCGGCTGCCGCTGCTGCTGCCGTAGTTGTTTTATCCGCGTGATTTTTCCAGGGCCTCTGATTGATCGGTGGCGCCGGCGCTTGACGAGTCGGACAGGGCGGCGGCGACTTCTTCAAGGCCTCCGCGACGATCTGACGACTAGGCCGCGGTGGCACCGGCGGCGCTCGGGCCTGATGCGGTGCCTGAGCCAACTGCATCTCGTTGTTGCCGTTGTGCCACGATCTCCGATCGCGTCGATTAACGTAGTACAATATCGACTCCGTGGCGTCGGGCTTATGTGACTATAAACAACTCTTTTTTCTTTTTCTTTTTGTTGTTTGGAAGACACGTCTTTGTGCACGGGACTCGCACACACGGTAGTGAAAGTCCTATAATGCACGTATATTTAAAGACGGAAATCGGCAATCGTTCGCCGATCGTCGCCAAAGCTCGCTAGACTCGATTCCTCGATATCGTTCCGGTCGTTCTCGTTTTTTCTCTCTCTCTCTCTCTCTGTCCCTCTCGCTCGTGCGCGAGCTGCACGAATATTCAGATTAAGCGCGGGAAGGGACTTTTTTTTTCTATTCGTCCTGCGCTCGTAGATCGAGTTTCCGAGCGAGAGTTTTCGTTGTCTCTTTTTGTCTCTCTCTCACACAGACATAGACACACACATACACTAGTTTATAACGTGGATGTGCTATGCGACTTTCTCAGAGCAGAGTTTAAAGGCCGTGTGCGCTATATGTGCTCTCGTGCCTCGTTGCCTCTTTTTTTTTCCTTCGCGCACATATGTATACAGAATAGAGCTGAATCAATGCGCGAGGTGCAGCAGCAGCATCTCTCGCTTTCTCAATTATTCACCCGCGGAGAGCAGAGTCGATAATTTTTCGGTAGGAATACCGATTCCGTACGGATGAATAGAGACGCGCTTACTTTGCATGGCCTTTTTTTATGCACACACAGACAGACAGACACCGAAAATAGACTCGTTGTTTTGTGCACCTTTGTACGACAAAAGGAAAGCGAAGAATCCACGCGGGAAACTTTCTTTCCCTCGGTCCAATTTGGGCTCTCACTGCGTTGCTGTATTATCCGTTGCGAGCGCGAGGAAAATTCGATTGTACCGAGTCTTTTGGCATCCTGGCACCGAGCTCGAGTGGCATCGCTGTTGTTGGTCGTTTCGAGGTCGGTCGGTGCGTCGCTTCTTCTTGCTTCTTGCTTCTTGCTTCTTCCGCCGGTCGAGAGCTTTTCTTTTACGACGTTTATTATTTCAGAAAAAAAAAATCGAGTCCGCGATCGCGGCGCGTTTATGATATGAATAAAGCGCGCTCCTATGCGCAGCACGCGACCTCGTGTAACAACAACACAAAGCGAGTCGGCGGCGGCGGCCGATTTTTACGATCTCCCTCCCTCCTCCAGCTACATGGAATACTGTATATATCTGTTGGTTTTTTTTTTTATTATTACTTTTAAGTGGAGTGCGTGGCGTATAATAGCTGCAGCTCTCGACTATGTAACAGTTCACGAGGCCAAATCTGCAACGTTACATAGAGACTTTCTGACTCGCTCCGATCGACGATCGCTCTTATAAATAAATCGTTAGATAAGAGCGCCCGGTGAAAAGCGAATAATTCTGACAAAGGAGCTGCTGCTGTGCACGGGATATTATCGCGGCTCCTTTTTTTCCCCTCTTATTTTGTTTTTTTTTTGCTCCAACCTCAGTCACGCTCGTTCGTCGGATTAATTTTGCTCCGTATTATACATACAGGCTTTTCTGCTACGGCACGAGCGCGACTTCCGGCGTGGGAAACCGGTTGCGATTTTTGCGCTATTTTCCAGTGTATACGTATACGGATAGATAGATAGAGGCGAAGGGGCTTTACTTTATGCGACGCAAGTAGCAGCGCTCTCTCGGTCTCTCGCTACTACTCGTCGCGCTCTTCTTACGTAAACAAACAGCTGCGCCACTGCGATCGGTCGCAACGATCATCGTATCGTCGTCGTCATCCTCGAGATACATCGATGAGCGCATTTTTTTTTGTCCACTCCTCTCTCTCTCCTCTCGCTCTCTTCCTCTTTTTCTCAAAATATAAATATAAGATTATCTGTTTCGGACGCGTTTATTTATTTTACTCGTATGATCGGCGATGCGTCACGAGTGCCGCACGAAGTAACGAAGGACGATCGGTCGCCTCGTGCGTTCTTGATCTTGCTTGGCGCGGCCAATTTCACGCGATCTCTCGAGAGCTCGTGGTCCAGCAGCGATGCTGTGCTGCTCGTTGCTCATTTTCTATATTGTACACATCGATTAAAATCTCACTGGGTTTTTCTTTCTGCTCGCTCGAGGGGGGGCCTTCTATTATACACCGAGCAAAGCTCACAATAGCAAGGCCACGCAGCAGTCGTGTCCTCCTCCTCCTCCTCGTCGTTTACACGTATATAGACTCACACACACACGTGTGCAGGGAATATGGCATTTAAATAATATATATACGCTGCACACGAGTGCAGCACTGCTGCTTCTTCTTCTTCGCGCGTGCGACACTTTTACGCGCGCGCGTATTAACAATAATAGTCGGCTATGTGCTCCGCACACGCGCCGAGTTATGCGCTGCTATTTCGAATACACGTACGTACACACACACACACACACACAAATGTATCGCTGCACACGTAACACACCGCACTGCATATAGCACGTATATAGAAACACAGATACACGGGCACGAAAATAAAAAAATGTATACGATACGTATGCACGGAGCTTGGAATGCAAAACCCGGAGCTCAGCGCACGTAGAGTACACAAACACACACGCGCGCTTGTATGTGTGTATAAGCACGATCGGAGCACATACGCTACGCACACACCGAAGCACTGCAATTAGCTTTGACGGCCGACCGACAGGATCGATTCCTTCGAGCTATCCTGGCGCGGATCGACAAGGGTCGTCCTGATAAATGCGTCGTAGGTCGCGTCCCAAGAAGATGCGTATATGTTGTTGTTGTTGTTGTTGCACGCCAATGGCGTTACATTATTTTTATTATTATATACGTGTAACACGCGACGACGACGATTAGCGGACACTCGTAGCACGAACGAATTCACCGCGACCGATCAAATTTTGTCATTCGACAATACCGATCTCTCTCTCTCTCTATCTCGAACCACGAGAATCGTTATATATATTTTCTTCGACACACGCACAATACACTTTTCTGCGGAGCTCTGCGCATCCGAGATGCGAGACACAACTCGAGACAGAGAGCAGCAGAGAGACACGAACCCGCTGCAGAAGCTGTGTGTGTGTGTGTGTGTGTGTGCTGGTAGCAGCAACGGCGCACAGCTAGCTCTCGCTCTTTGTGCGCGAAATGTACTGCTAGTCCCGCGCGCGCGAACTCGCCTCTTGGGCTGTATATGCAATTGCCTCTGCACCACTACTACTACTACTACTGCTGCTAGTGCTATTACTATCGTGCGGAGCGAGACACACCACGTACGGAGCGCATTGCTCGCGCGCGCCCGCCAAGAGCTCTGTCTTATAGCAGCTATAGCCTGGGCTGCTGCAAGCTGCACAGCCGAGCCAACGCACAACAACAACGTATAAATATAGCGTGTATATAGTATATACGATACAGAGGTGCACTCTATACGTACTGCACCGTATGTGCACCGTTCACTCGTGGCTCTGTGTCTGTGTCGGTGTATATAAGAGTTTGTGTGTTCTCTCTCTCTCGCTGTCTTGTGACTCGCGACTCGCGCGGCGGCGGCGGCAGCGGCGTCGGCTTCGAGACCCCAACTGAGGCGTCCGTACATATACCACTCTTATAGCACGTATAAGAGGCATGGCAGCCGGAGGAGCTGCTGCTAACCGCCGCACTCACGTATATATGGGCTATATCGCGTCAACTGTCCCCTCCCTTGGATCAGAGTTCTAATTTGATTTTTCATATTTTATTCTGCTTTCCAAGAATGAATAAAAAATGATTGAAACATGATTTTTTATGTTAAGCTTTATGAGGAATTTAAATTGGATGTCAAAAATCATATTCATAAACTCCAAGTACCTTAATTTCCAAAAATCAGCTTCATGGGCAAAAATAAACATGTTCGTGTCCAGCGATATGGCCAATATTGTAATATTTTCTTCTTTAAATCCAAATACAACTTCTGATAAATTTTGGTCATCGCCAAATAAACAGACTTCATTATTGAGCTTCGTATGTGTCAAGAATAAAGGAAATCTAGAGAAAAACCATGTTTTATTGACACATATGAAGCTCAATAATGAAGTCTATTTGTCTGGCGATGACCAAAATTTAGGATTAAGGAGCTATGAAGTATGAATCAGTCGATGAACATATTACAATATTGGCCATATCGCTGGATACTAACATGTTTATTTTTGCCATTTTTTGCTGATTTTTGGGAATTATGGTACTTGGAGTTTATGAATATGATTTTTGACATCAGATTTTACATAAAAAATCATGTTTCAATCATTTTTTCGTATTCACCCTTGGGAAGCAGAATAAAATATGAAAAATCAAATTACAACTCTGTTCCAAGGGGGGGAACAGTTGACGCGATATAGCCCATATACACAGCGCACATAAAAACTCGAGACTCCGCGCGGAGCGAGAAGGAGTATAGAAAGAGAGAGAGAGAGAGAGAGAGAGAGAATGACGAGGTAGAAGCTCGCGAGGTATCGCATGCACTCGTACAAAGAGCCGAGGTGCATACATATATACAGTATACGATATTGCGTATACACAGCTCCTCCGCCAGTGTACATACATACATATCCCCGAACTGCAGCACGAGATTCGCGCGCGCGGGTGTTGCGATATAGAGACAGAGGTTGTTGCCGGACCAGATGAGAGAGATGGAAGGCAGCGCACGAGGGCACACAAAGCTATATAATGTAGACCGCTGTGCCCCGTGACGATGCGCGAGGTTAATATTATCGTTTCGTCGTTCTTCTCTCCGCGCGCTGCAACGCCGATATATATTATTAAACTCGTGTTGGATACTAATATGCGGACGCGCGTGCTTTTATTCAGGAGTTTGAACGTTACTCGTCTGTATAAACGAAGCTCATTGATCTGCAACCGATTTCCGCGCGTGTATCCTCGCGCGTAGACACGTGTATAATATAGATCGTACATTTGTACTGCGCTCCTATTATTCCATACTATATGCAGATTATAACATCTACAGTAAAGTAATACAACATCGTTTGATAACCGAAATTTTTGTAAAAAAAAAACATTTCGTCGTGGGCGCACGCATCGATACACGTACTTCGACGAGAAATTCGTGCCTGCGACGAACGTACATGACTCATCCATATAATGCGACCGATTCTCAATCGAGTCGAACGGCCAAAAAATAAAAAAGGATGAGTAATTATGGGGCGAGTGAAAAAAGTTTAAATGATCGACAAAAGAGTGATAAAATAATGATTATCGTCGCAAAGATATCGGTAGCCTTGTCATTATTACAATGCAATTGACTAATTTCGTTACTAGCGGGCTCGAGGTGGAAATAACATTCGACGGTCTGCAACGAAAAATGGAATTGTTAAACCTCTTGTAAAGGTCAAAGAAGTTCGAGTTATGGAGCTTACCACGATGCTACAGCGTGTTAAGTAGCACAATTGCCGCGATGAGTTTAGGAGGCGCCTGAGAAGCTGCTAGCCGAGCGACACTAAAAGAAAGTGTACTTTAGAAAAGTCACAGAAATATTAGATCGAGTAGGGTCCATCTGATGGCCATGCGGTCTAAAGCACACGCCTCTGTCATCAGTGGAGTGGTTCAAATCGAGGTTCGAGTCTCGATTAAAATCATTGCAGGACCTGGAAGGAAATAATTTGCAGATAAAGTTTGAAGGAGAAATCCTTCTTCTTTTGTCTTTTCTTCACAGCGCAAGCGTATAAAATTTTACATTTATTATTTTTTTTTAAATAATTTTTATGGCATTGCGTGGCTCAAGTTTCAGTTCGAGGCACACTTTGCCGTGACCGAAGCTGATCGTTATTCGCGTATAGCGACGCTATTATGAACAACTTGAATCTCGGCAAAGGGGCTCCAAACGTGAACTTAGCACAGTGCTAACGTATAAAAGTATTTTTATTGCACAAGCAAAAGTTCAACAATCTCTTGAGAAAAAGTCACATGTATATCTCTCATACGCACGATCATATGCGCGAAAGAATATATCGCCGTGAGACAATGGTAGATACCCCAAAAACAAGCCCAAAACACAACCCATGAGCCGAATAAAACTCAGAAAAAAAGCACGAGAGTCGAGAACACTCATCGGGTAGCTGATGCATGTGCTTGTCTCGAATTTCATATAGACCAAAGGAAAGAGAGACCCACATACGGGTCTAAAGTTGTGCCTTATTAGTTCGCGTTTTCAAGTGGTAACGAGGATGAAATTGTTTTACCTTTTCCCGATTTTAACTACATCGCACGATAATCGTGCCAATTATCGTGCGAGTTGATCCCCGATACACGTATAAAAGCTACAGGAAAGGCTTCATTTTATACCTAGACGCGTGCTTTTCAATTTCTCGGTAATATCAACTTCCTCGCGTGAACTTACACGCATACGAACATCATAGTTACTTTTTTTTATTATCAAATTGTATCAGCATCTCTGTGTTGAAAATTGTAAAGGTATACATCTACAAAAACAAAGGTCGATAGATCGAAACTCGAATGTTGATTGCCAGCGCGTCGTGCAGTGTACGCGGCTCGCGAGAAGCTCGTGTTATTATAATGTTAACCTCGCGCGGTACTTCGTATAAGACAATAATTTATCCGATTTTATTGCAGCGGCCGGGGCAAATTTCGAAATAGCCATTTCACTTCGTTTCGTGTCGTCTTCCTCGTAAATTATAACGCGTGCACACGAGCATGTATATACGTACTTCTTTGACTCGTGGCGCGCATATTATACGAAAGGGGCAGCAGCTGCGTCCGTCAACGAATCCAATAAGTCGGAAAATTTTTTTTTCATCGAACGAGTAAATTTATGTACGCGCGGTGTACTTGAATTTA